GGATGCGGTGCCAAAAGAAGAACCGCTGCAGTTGCGGCAGACCGGGCGCCCCGGCGCGGGTGTGATGCAGAGATCACTTTTGCCGCTCTCCCCGTTTTTTGTTTTGTTTTGGTTTTGTTTTTTTTTTTTTTAACTCGGCCTCTTTATCTTTCAATTGAAAAGCAATTAAAGGTTTCTATAAATCTGTTAGCATCGCTTTTACGTGGGGCCCGCTGATGCCCGCTGTATTGCCCTTTAGATGCCTCTTCCTTTTTTTGTTTTACAATTGTTGTATCAATATAATGCTTCCTTTCTTTCTCTGTCTCTATAGATACAGATATACAAGGCAAACTAAAGGTTTCGACTGCTATTCAGTGCCTCCTCATTTGTCCCGGAGCCGCAACAGTGGTGCCCTTTCTCTTCTGGCTGCTTTTCCCTGCTTCTGGAGCAGCAGTTATGGGAGAAGCAGATGGCTACTGATTGGGTGAGCTTTGTGGCTTTAATACTGAATACTTTATGGAAAAGGACTTTATCATGCTTGGTTGGTCAGAGGAAAAACGGGATGAGATTTATGACTAGAGAAAATAAATCTTTTTAAGTTTCAGGCTCCTTCACACACCCCACATCAAGTCGCTCTAGCAGAGCCGGAGCTGAAATCCTCTGCATCTTTTTTTTCCTCCCTGCCTGCCTCCCTCCCCCTCTGTCTGTCTGTCCTTTCACGGCTCTCCCCACCCCCTCTCCCACAGGGTTTAGCAAACCTCTGCAAACTTTAGGGACTGTCGCTCACTGGAGCAGCGGAGGCCTTCCCAGCCCCGCAGGGGAGGGAATAGGGACCATCCCCAGATGCGGATCATCCGCCTGATGGGAATATGCTGGTTAGTCAGCTCCTGCAAAGCCTCGTCCAGGTGTAACCCGGAGAGCGGCCACCCAGGGTCTCAGTGGGGAGTTTCGAGTGATATCCTAATAAACCCGACAGCACGGAGGCTGCCTGGCCACCAGAGAGATACCCGGCTCGGGCTGCCCACCACTCTCTGCAGAGCCCAGACCTCCCAAAGGAGAGGGAGCCCAGCACTGCCCGACTCCTCTGCACCCCAGGCTGGGCGCCCCCCGGGGCTGGGGGACTGTGTCCCCGGGGAGCAACTCTCCGCACGTCCTTCGGTCGCCCCCACAGAGGCTCGGCACTCACCACCAGCTGTGGCGTGTTGACCGTCCAGTCTCGGTGTCTGCGCGGTCTCACGCCGCAGCTGGGGGATGACGAAGGGCCGTGCAGCAGGGTGAGCTCCAGCTCCAGCGTGGGACACTGGCAGTGGCACACAGGGATGGAAAGGTTCAAGGGCGTACAGGAGGCAGAAGCAGATTGCAGTCCTAGAGGGGTTTCCCTATTTCGTTTCTCCCTCTTTCCCATCCCGTATAGCCCATACCATCCTCTACCTGGCTGCTGGAAGCTAAAGCTAGGTGAAAGCTTTCCAGGTTTAAACCTTGGTGCTTTTATCAGGTCAAGTAAGGAGGAGAAACGGAAAGCCATGGTTGAGAAAAATAATTTTGAGATAGAAAGTCAGAAGTGATTTGGGGCTATACGTTAACCATTTAACCAGCTACCCTATATTACATTCATTGGTGCGTTTTCTTGTCATTTATTAAAAAAAAAATCTGTGACCCTTTGGTGAATGTACAAATTAACATTTCTAACTGGTTTCTGCGTTTGCTCAGAAAGGAGTACAGGGGAAGTTCGAGCACCATCAGGGGCTGAAGGAATAGCCAAGGTGCTTATGGCATCTCTGAGTCCTGTGAAAGCCGGCAGGCAAGGGACGCCGAGCCCCGCTGTGGCTGCCTGAGGCTCCTGGGGGAGCAGGAGTGTCTGCTGCTTCGTGGGGTGAACCACAGCCAAAGCTGGTGTCCGGCAAAAAGGGCTTTACAGCTTTGTGGTGTGGCGGTGAGTTGACCTGGGAGTCCCAGGCGCCGCTGCAAGCATCAGTGAGATGCGGCTGATGCACCGATGGAAATAGGAAGGGACGGGGACCCCGGGCTCGTTTGGGAGCTGAGCTGGGAATGAGACAGGACGGGCACTGGCAGCATGCCTTAGCCCTGGTGAGGGCCTAGTTGTGGGGCTGAGCAGTCCCAGAAGGATCCCCGTGCCTGCTCGGAAGGCTTACCGGTGGGAGAAATATTGGTTCTCTGCGCCGCTGTTTGCTGGCGTGCAGTGTGGCAGTGATGCTGCTGATGCCCTGGTACAGGACCTCCCGAGGAAGGGCGCCGTCCACAAGCCTGGGAACAGTTAAACGCAGAAAGCGTGATTTGTCATTCAGCTGAGGCCCTGATTTATTTCCACTACAGAGGCCTAGCTGCCGTGTTTGTCTCAGGGGAAGGGAACCGTTCTGCCTGCATTTCTTCAGGCACCAGGAAAGCTTGTGGCTCTACGATTCGTTTTGAGTCGCTTTTCCGTTCCACCCCATGTGCCCCCCCTCCCCGAGGACCGCAGGCAGCCTCTGACAGCAGCGGGCAGAGACGGCAGCAAGGCAGCTTTGGGCATCCCTTCATCCCTCCTCTCCCCGGTCCCCCGGCACCGCCTGAATGCTCGTGGCTGGGCTGATGCGCCTCTGGGAACTTGTGTGTTTCCTCAGCGATTTTATTTCCCAGGTGACTTTATAGCAGAGTCACCTGTGGGCTGACTCTCGGCTGTGCGTGTGCCTCCTGCGAGGAGTAACCCTCCGTCCGTCAGCCTGGGGCGCGTCACAGCTTTCAGGCAGCATTTCCCGAGGGATGCAGGAGTGTTGCTGAGCACAGGTGGTATGGCCTCACCTGCCCTCTTTCTTCCTCACCTTCCTGGGTGACATCTGGGGAGGAAAGAGAAGGCTCCTCAGGGTGCCCCGACATCCCCAGAGAGAGAGACCCTCCATCCTTCGCAGCCATCGCTGTGGTAACTCATCATGAGCAGAAAACGGGCACTTCCCTCCGAGGGGTTAAGGGATGCTGGTAGCGGAGCGCCACCCCCACACCATCCCCTCGCCCCCACAGCCGCCCTGTCCCTTCCGGGGGGTGGCAGAGCCGGGGACGCCCCCAGGCTCTGTCCCCAGGTTGGGGCCGGCTGGAGCTCGGGGGCAGTCCCAGCTTGTTGCACGGTCCATGGGATGGACGCGCAAGCGCAGCTTTCCACGACAAGCACCGCTGAAACCTGCGTGCCAGAGCGCCCTGAGCACCTGGGTGTCGAGGAGCGCAGCGCGTGTCAGGATTTCTCAGCATCAGGCAGGGGTTGACCTAATTTCTAAACTCCCTTTAAATGATGAATACTGACTTTTTGGGTATTTTAGCTTCTCCTGCCTTCCACGCTCACAGAGATGTACAATATGCACTGCTAACCTGGTCTGTATATAATTCAACCTTAATTAGATTATCTGCTGCAGTACCCCCAAAAAAATGAAATAAAATCGCGGTGCGGGTTTTCGCTGCCTCCCCAGCCTGCCGTCGGCTTCCATGCCTCCCGCTGGGCACCGCCGGGAACACCGGCACCACCGGCCCCGGGATCGGGTGGTGGGCCGGGGTTTGCCGTGGGCGCTGCCCGGTCGCGACACTCGGGAGCATAAAGTTAAAAGGAAAAAAGCGGCGGAGGGGAAAGTGGTGTTCCGCGGGGCTGCGGCGACGCCTTTGCCCGGGCTTCACTTTTTACGGTGGCATCCGAGGCTGGGGAAACGCTCCTAAACGCCGCCGCCGTCCTTTGTAGTACCGGGGAAATTCGGTCGCTGAGATAATGTCGAAGCGATTCCGAGATAGTTTATGTGCCGTGCTGCCCCTTAAAATTCTCGCGAATAAAAATAACGCGTAGGTTTTCTCCCTTCCCCCCTACCCCCCCACTAATGACAGTCATTCGGACAATTTATATCGCACAGCGAGAGCTGCAGCTTTTTTTTTTTTTTAAAAAAAAAAAAGGGATAAAGAAAAAAAAAAACCAGGAAAACGGGAAAAAAATCCCCTTTGAAGCAGGAATTGAGATCCAAATTTTTACAGACTCCCATATTTTTAATGTTATGACAATCTCCGTTTTAGGAGACGCTGCGTTTTGTCGAATTAATAAGATAAATGTTGAAAGCATATTATATGCAGCCTTTAATCCTAATGCAAGGAAAATCGTAATTATGTAGAGGATAAGTGAATTTGAAAGCCAAACATCAGCCCACTCTCTGATTGCAAACAACGCTCCGTTCGCCGCTGGAAAACGCTTTGTCTCGTCTTTTGTTTAGTTTAGGGGGCTTTAAATTCTATTTTTAATTTTTTTTTTCTAATCTGTTTTGTGTCTGAAATAACGGCGATAAGGGAGGAACCGGTAAACACTTTTCCGTGCGGTGAAAACCTTATTTTGGCACGGAGCATCTGCGGACGCTTTTGCTTACCAAATCTGCGTGTCCGTAAAAGACAGGAGCCCCGCGTTCTGCGGGGGGTGCGAGCCGCGCACCTTTGCCCTTCCCGGGGAAGGCTCCGTCGGGGCTGCCCGCTCCCGCCCTCCGGCCGCACCGTCGGGGCTCCGCCG